CAACCACCTGCTGAATCTATTTACCCATTGTATCAACTCTTGGCTGTAAGACTTAACTGGGGGTCAAGTTAACTAGGAGACAGGTCTCAATCAGAGATAGGCAGGTTTTTAATCCTGATATTCATTTCCTTGTTTTCTGTAAATATATTAAATTTTGCTTGTTTGTTCAATAAAATCAGAGTTTTCTTTACCTCTGAAACATCTACCTCCTATGTTTTCCACCACAACATATTCTACTACATAAGCCCAGTGTTGGAACCAAGGAGCTGGTGAACAATAAACCAAGCAGCACTTCCTACAAGGTTCCAAGTCAAGATAGTGTGTGACTTGGATGGAAACTTGCAGGTTATGAAGTTCCGAGCACCTTAACTTCCTTGTCCTTGTAGGTGGTAGATGTTATGGGTTTGGAAGGTGCTGTCAAAGCAGCCTTGGTGATTTACTTAAATGCATCCTGTAGATGATACACACTGCTGCCACTTTATATTGGTGGAGAAGGAAGTGAATATTGAAGGTGTTGGTTGGGGTACTAATCAAGCAAGCTGAAATGACCTAGACCAATAGGAATTGAACTCATCCACACAGGTGTAGAGGATTCCATCATATGCTTGACTTGTGCCTTATAGATGGTAGACAAGCATTACGGAGACAGGAAGTGTGTTACTCACCACAGCACTCCTTGACTCTGACCTGCTCCTGAAGCCACTGTATTTATATGGCTCATTTATTTCAGTTTTTGGTTAACAGTATCCAACCTACAAGATGTTGAAAGTGGGAGATTCAGTGATAATAATGCTCGCTGAATGTCAAGGGATAATGGTTAAATTCTTTCTTGTCAGAGACGTCATAGTCAGGCATTTGTGTAGCACAAGATTACTTGACACACATCAGCCCAAGTCTGGATGCTCTCCAGCTCTTGCTCCATTTGTGCATGGACTGTCTCAGTATCTGAGGAGCCACATTATATTGCTGAACATTGTGCAATCGTTATCCCACTTACAATCGAAGGAAGGTCATTGGTGAAGCATCTGATGATGGTTGGGCCTGAGACAGTACTCTAAAGATGACTCCCCTCCAACACTAAGCAATTTTCCTTTGTGCTAGGTATACCTCCAGCCAGTGGAGAACTTTCACCCAGATTTCCATAGATCTCAGTTTACTGAGCTGTTTGCTGTGTTCAGTGATGCCTTGATGTCAGGGACAGTCACTCACCTCACCTTTGGAATTCACCCTTTTTGTACATGTTTGAATAAAACTGTAGTGAGGTGTGGAGTTGAATGGCTCGTGCAGAACCCAAACTGAGTGTCAGTGTGCCTAGAAAGTCACATATAGTTGGCGACATTGTCGACGGTGTAGATGATAACATAAAATTACAAATGGATATCAATAGGCTAGGTGAATGGAACTGTGGCAGGTGGAGTTTTATGTAAACAAGTGTGAGGTTATCCATTTTGAACCAAAACAGAATAGATGAGGGCATTTTTTAGATCGTGCAAAGTTAAATATGTTGGATGTCCAAAGATATTTGAGGATTCGGGTACATAGATCTTTAAAATGCCATGAACAGTTGCAGAAAATAATCAAGAAAGCTAGTACAATGCTGGCCTTTATACGTAGAGGACTGGAGTACGAGGATGGAGAAGTTACGTTGCAGCAATAAAAAATCCTGCTCAGACCCTACTTGGTATACTGTGCGCAGATCAGGGCACCACATGTTAGGAAGGACATTTTGGCCTTGGAGGGAGTAGAACATAGGTTTACAAAAATAATACCTGGACTTACATGGGTTAAGTTATGAGGAGCGATTGTACAAATTAGGCCTGTGTTCTCCAGAAAGTAGAAGATTAAGAGGTGATCTGATTGAAATCTTCAAGATACTACCAGGAAAAGACAGGACAGATAAAGATGAATTATATCCGCTGGTTGTGGAATCTAGAACTAGCTAGGTTGCATACTCTGAGAATTAAGGCCAAACCATTCAGGAGAGATGTTAGGAAATGCTTCTGTACACAAAGGGTGGGAGATATTTGGAGCTCTCTTCCACAAATGACAGTAGATGGTAGATTAATTGTTAATTTTAAATGTGACATAGATAACATTTTTGTTAAGCAAATGTATTAAGGAATATGGGCTGAAGGCAGGTTTATGGAGTTGAACCACAGATCTACCGTGATCTCATTGAATGGCAAGACAGGCTCGAGGGCCTGAATGGCCTACTCCTGTTCCTATGTTATTCCGTACCAAGTGCTGCTTGATTTTTTTTTCTTTATTCATTAACGGGATGAGGACATCGCTGGCTTGGCAGCATTTATTGTCCATCCCTAATTGTCCAGAGGGCAGTTAAGAGTCAACCATATTGCTGTGGGTCAGGAATCACATGTAGGCCAGAACAGGTAAGGATGGTAGTTTCCTTCCCTAACGGACATTAGTGAACCAGGTGGGTTTTTCCAACAATCGACAATGGATTCATGGTCATTATTAGATTCTTAATTCCAGAAATTTTATTTAAATTCCACCATCTGCTGTGGCAGAACATTGTCTGGGTCTCTGGATTAACAGTCCAGCGATAATACCACTTGGCCATTATCTGTCGCATATCACTGTCAACAAACACTTTCACCACTTTGCCCATGATCAAAAGTAGACTGTTGGAATGGTAACTGACTAGTTTGGATTTGTCCTGTTTTTTGCGCAAACAATATGCCTGGACAACATTTGCAAATAGATGCCAGCACGGTGACTGTTTTGTAACAGCTTGGCTATGGATGCAGTTGGTTCTGGAGCAGAAGTCTTCAGGACTATTGCCGGAATGTTGTTAGGGCCCGGATCCTTGAGTGTATCTACTATTTACACTTTTTTTTGATATCACATTAAGTGAATTAAATTATTTGAAGATTGGCATCTGTGAAGCTGGGAATCTCAATAAGAGGCCAAAATCCACTTGGAACTTCTGGCTGAAGATGAATGCATGCACTTTAGCCTTGTTTTATTGTGCACAAATGTACTAGTCTCTCCATCATTGAGGATGGGGATCTTAGTGGAGCCTTCATCTTTCATTGGCTGCTTAATTGTCCACCACCATTCAGAACAGGGTGCGGCAGTACTGCAGACCTAGGATCTGTTTGTTGGATGTGGAAATCACTTAACACAGTATATTACAAGCTGCTTCCAGTCTTTGGCATGCAAATACTCCTGTGTTGTACCTTCACCAGGTTGACACCTCCTTTTTAAGTAGTCCTGGTGCTGATCCTGACATGCCCTCTTCATTGAACCAGGGTTGATCTCCCGGTTTGACGGTAATGATAGATAGAGTGGAGAATATGTTGGACCAATGAGGTAACAGATTCTGATTGAGTACTAATCTGTTGCTGCCAGTGGTTCACAGTGCCTAATTGATGCCCTGTTTTGAGTTGCTAGTTTTGTTTGAACTCTGTGCCATTTAGCGTCGTGGTAGTATAACATGACATGATGGAGCATATCCTAATGCAAAGATAGGACTTTCTCTCCACAGCAGCCGTACACTCCTACTGATTGTTGTGGATGAGCACAGCTGTGGCAGGTAGATTGGTGAGGTTGAGGCCACGTACATTTTTCTCTCTTTATTTTTCCCTCCCCACGTGTCACAGACAATTGTAGCAACTATGTCTTTTAGGACCTGGCCAGCTCAGTCATTAGAGGTGTTTTCAGGCTACTTTTGGTGATGGATGTTTAAATTTCCTGCCCAGAGTACATCTATGCTCTTGCCACTCTCAGTGCTCTTTCTAAGTGGTTTTCAACATGGAGGAGTTCCGATTCATCAACCAAGGTGTTCGGTGGAAGTCAGCAGGTTTCCTTGCCCTTGTTCATGGGTTCCAGAGCCAATGTTGAAGACTGCCAGGGCAATTCCCTTCTGACTAAATACCTCTATGCCCCCATCTCTAGTGTGTCTGTCCTGGTGGCAGGACATGATATATGGCAAGGATGTATGGTGTCAAGGATAGTGTCTATAATGTGCGAATTCATTCATTATGACTATGTCAGCTTGTTGCTTGACTGACTCTTCCCAAGCACATGTACCTAAATGTTGGAAGGAGGATTTTGCAAACTGTGAAGGGTTGTGTTTGCTGCTGTTGTTATCAGTGTCCATGTCATGCCGAATGGCCTGCAGGTTTCATTTATTTTATGAGACTTCGTACCAGTTTGATAATTTGCCAGGGTGGGGGCAGATAAGACTCAACCATATTGTGTAGGTCTGGAATCACATGTACTGCAGATTTTGTTCCCTGAAGGACTTGAGTAAATGTTATTAGAACAATTGACAATCATCATTAGACTTTTAATTCCAGATTTTTTAAAAAATTTGAATTCAATTTCCACTATGGTGGGATTCAACCCAAGTCTCCAGAGCATTACCTGGGTCTCTGCATTATTAGTCAGGTGACAATACCACTAGGCCATCACCTCCCCAACAGAAAGAACCAGTTTGCTTTTTCCAGAGAAGGAAGAAGGCGCTCATCATCACATTGTTGAGGGTGCTTAGGGAGGGATAATGAATACTGGCCTTCCCAACACCGCTCATATCCCATTGAAGAATTAGAAGAAAGGAATCAAGGAAAACAAAATCCAGGGGAGGGAATATGTCCTTAGAACATTCCTGTATAATTGTGATAACTTTTTCAGAAAAAAAATCTTTCACTTTTAATTCATGTTTGTAATTTTTGTGAATTTTATGGATTTTTGTATCGTATAATAAGGCCAGGAATTCAGTGCTGCTGATGAAGTGCTCGGCCACAGATTCTATTGCCTGGTTTAAATAATACAAGACTAGTGAGCTTTTCTGAAGGACACATACAAACAGCGTCATTGTAATGATCACTTTATGCTGCAATTTTTGTGTTAATGCAAAAGCAAAAAAAGTGAATCTGAGACCCTGTTAAGCATTCTGAAAGTTTCAGTAACATTGATTTGCTATAAGTAATGGAAATGGCATTGTTCATCTTCTATTGATTTTTCTTTCTGTTCAGCTGCTATGCCAATGGAAGAACCAAGCAAGTGTTATTTATTGCGAGAACTCACTGCAGAGAGATCATCCATTGAGAAAGGAATGCTGGATGTTGATCGACTCATTCTTAAACTTTTTACATCTGGCACTTTGGATTTTGTCTCCTTGAACAATATTACTCAGTATCCCATTAGGAATGACAGGACTCAAGCTCTGCTGGACCACTTTTTACAAATAAATAACAATGGCATTTTAAGGCAGTTTGTTTCTCATATGCGGGACCCAGTGATACTAAATGCAGAAGCACTAAACTGGGCTGAGTATATGCAAGGATGCAGTGAGTATATTCGCATTTTTTATTTTCTACTATTAATGTTGATCACGTATTTTCTGCTTGATCTAATAATGTACTTTTATTATCAATATTGACTATTGAGCCTGGGATTTGGATCCTTTTATGAAACTAAACATACCACCCGAGAATAGTACAAAGCAAAATTACTACTATTTTTCTACGATTGGTGAGGAAAGTTTAGCTGCTCCCACTGCCCGATTTCATGGTCGTTCAAGCGTAATTGCTTCTCTAGAAATAATATGCTTTGCTAATTTGCACCAATTTAAAGATAGTCCCCAAATAAATTCCCGACCAACCAATTAATTCACTAAAAACGAAAAGAAGCACCTCCTCCTCACTCCTCGCTGAGCTCTTCGTTTGCCCCAGTTGTAAATGTGACAACCGCCCTGCACGGTAGTGCCTATTGCAGTTTGTGGCCTGTTGCATACAGTAGGAGTGCTCCTAGCTATACAATGTTATACAATGTCCTGTAGGTGTAAATACTGATGGTGTTGCATAGAAGTCTATATTCTTCCTCAAGAGTCCTCAACTATCCTCACCCCACGTTCAACTTTGTCATTTGATTATGGGTATCTCAGCAAGTTTGTGGCATGTTCAAAATCAGAAGTGGTAGTGAATTGTCTGAAGCACTCATTAGCAAACTGTGACCAATTCCCCAAAATGACTACATTAGTGACGTTATGTATTTCAAAAATCTCATATAAGGTTAGGATGATTATGTGCAAAACGTTCAATGTCTGAGTCGCTGTCTATTGGGAGAGATAATTGATGACAATTAACTAAGACCGTCCATCAAAAACTAGTAAATCTGTATCCACATGTTCCCATGGTTCTCATTGCTCTGCTGTGTAGATAGCACAAGTCTTGAAATTGGCAATGAGATCTTCAGTAACCTTTGAGGTCACAGGCCTCCACCTTGCTGACCCAGTTGCATTTAGTTTATTTCCAAATGTCGCAGATACAGCTACTCTAGGACATCATCCTGAACCAAAACTGGAATGACCAGTCATTCATCATACACCAATATGCCATCCACAACTATAAAATGCTGTCGGTGCTTAAAATATGTTTTCAAGGCCAATCCATTGGGTCTTTGGCATGCCAAATTTCAGTACAATATCGATGAATGTTGAAACTCCCCAGTGTCCTTACAACTCCTGTCAGATCTGGCCACGCTGATTGACTTGCTGGTCTTTGTGATACCACGGATTGGGAGGATGATTCAGTTTTGTGAATAAACTCATCATGCTGGTAAGGCTGTCTGCCCTTAGTCTGGAGAGCGCATCTGTCTTCATTTGCAGTTTTCTTGCATTATAGGTGAGCCTCACGAGATAAAGCCAAATCTTTATATTCTTGGATGCTTGCTAATTCTTTCTCATCTGGTGGAGAAACTGAAGGCTTATAATCTCTTTCTAAGACCACTTTCAAACCAAGGATGCAATCTGAATATTATTCACAAGCCAATGTAACCAAGATTATCCCCTCAATCACAGCACATCACACCATGTTTCTGTGTCTAACAATGCATACTTAGACTAGTTTGTGACACTCATTTGATTGCTTCTGGAGGAATGTTAAAAGCTCAACTGTTAAGGATGGTTGAAAAATATAGAATCCATAGAATCCCTGCAGTGTGGAAGTAGGCAGTTCGGCCCATCGAGTCAACTCTCTGTAAAGCATCCCACCCAGATCCACCTGGCTACCCTATCCCTGTAATCCTGCATTCCCCATGGCTACTCAATCTACCGTGCACATTCCTGGACACTATGGCAATTTAGCATGGCCAATCACCTAACCTCCACATCTTTAGCCTGTGGGAGGAAATTGGAGCACCCAAAGGAAACTCACACAGACACAGCGAGAGTGTGCAAATTCCACACAGTCAGCCGAGGCTGGAATCAAACCCAGGTCCCTGGCGCTGTGAGACAGCAGTGCTAACTACTGACCACTGTGCCACCAAGATTGTTGTGTGTTAAAACATGAAGTTCAACATGTCCATGAACCTTTTAAAATTATTTACTTGATGCAAGTTTGAGCACCATTCTTCATCTTCTGGAAGAAGATTCATCTCGAGGGTTCGGTCATAGTTATCAAATGAGACAATAATTTCATCAATTACTTTACCATCCCTAAAAATCTTTGGAGATACTCAACTGCCTTTGGAGAGGGGAGTTCTTTAATGGCATTAAGTTCTGAGGATTCACCATTTTACCTTCACTGTTGTCAATAGATCTCGGTGTCCATGTGCATAGATCCCTGAAAGTTGCCACCCAGATTGATAGCGTTGTTAAGAAGGCATACGGTGTGTTAGGTTTCATTGGTAGAGGGATTGAGTTTCGGAGCCATGAGGTCATGTTGTAGCTGTACAAAACTGTGGTGCGGCCGCAGTTGGAGTATTGCGTACAGTTCTGGTCACCGCATTATAGGAAGGATGTGGAAGCATTGGAAAGGGTGCAGAGGAGATTTACCAGGATGTTGCCTGGTATGGACGGAAGGTCTTATGAGGAAAGGCTGAGGGACTTGAGGCTGTTTTCGTTAGAGAGAAGAAGGTTAAGAGGTGACTTGATAGAGACATACAAGATGATCAGAGGATTAGATAGGGTGGACAGTGGGAGCCTTTTTCCTCGGATGGTGATGACTAGCACGAGGGGACGTAGCTTTAAATTGAGGGGTGATAGATATAGGACAGATGTCAGAAGTAGGTTCTTTACTCCGAGAGTAGTAAGGGCATGGAATGCCCTGCCTGCAAAAGTAGTAGACTCGCCAACTTTAAGGGCATTTAAATGGTCATTGGATAAACATATGGATGATAATGGAATAGTTTAGGTTAGATGGGCTTCAGATTGGTTTCACAGGTCGGCGCAACATCGAGGGCTGAAGGGCCTGTACTGCGCTGTAATGTTCTATGTTCTATGTTCTATGAGTCCCAAGAACCGAATGGATTTCTTGGAGAATTCACACCTTATATTAAGATTGCGCCCTCCTCATTGTGAGCGCTTTAGTACTGCATGCATTGTCTGATCATGCTGTTCAGTTATTTCCCAATGTATTAAATTTGTCATCCATATGGCATATGACTCCATGAAAACCTTGTAAAATATTGGACATTGTTTCTTAAAAAATCTTTGTAGCTAAGGTGTGTCAACTGGTAATCTATTAAAACAAAGTCTCCCAAATGGAGTTACAGGTATCATAAACAATCTTTATTGCTGATTCATTGGAACCTGCCCAAATCCAGTGCATCAGGTTTCATGAAAGCCCCCCTTTTGAATAGTTTACCTAAACGTCCGTCAACTATAGACGTAGGGTGGTATCTCTCATCACCTTTTTCAGCTGCGTAAGTTCAACAATAGTAATGTTAGGCTTGGATACAGTAACCATGCCTGACTTGGTTTTGTGACTAGGGAAATGGTGCCAGTTATGGTCATTTCTGCAAGCTGTTTTTCAACCTGCTTCATTAAGGGATGCAGAATCTTCCTGGGTGTATAGAGGCATAATGATTTATCATCTTCCTTCAGTATACTGCTGTACTCAGGATTCAGCTTCCCTAAGTCTTTAAATAATTTAGGTTATTCATGTTCGAATGAGCTTCTGAGCAGCTTCTGTTTAACCTCTCCCACTTTTTGAATAAGATTGTCAAAAATGTCTTCCTACTGATGAATATGAATTCTTGATTATGAAGATTAAATCTTCTGTTATCTTCTATTTGTCATACCTATGTTGGACAATCACTTGTGACAAAATTTTAATCTAAGTGCTGTGCCTCCTGGTCCATGTAGTTGCACTATTATTGGCTATGGACATTGGTTTCCTCATCAAGCTCACTATCCAATATGATAGTGTCACTTGCCCACTGTATAACTTGAAATTCGTGGGATGACTATTGACAGAAGTGTCAGCTTGTCACAATGTAAGGCCTGGATTAACTGTTTCAACCTGGGACACTGAAAGTTTTACTTCTGTTGCAGCTTGTTCTACATCTTTAACCTCTTTGTGTGGGTAACTATTTAATTCTTTGTTTTTCTGAAACTATTTCCCAAACCTTTATATTTTCTGAAAGTGACCTGTTGTGCGATAGAGAAAGCATTCATTTCCAATAGTTGGGCACTGTCTGTACCTGTGAGATTTCTTTGCTCCACAGCAAAGGACAAGAGCATTTAATGTCTGGTACCTGTCCTGTTATGTGTACTGGTTTCTCCTGCATATCGCCTTTGGCTTTGTACTTTAAAAATTGAATGAACTCTGCTGTTCTCCTGTGCCAATGTTGATCTTCACTTCTTAGGATTGATCTGTGTTGCTTCTGGTTCACTGACTTTCTGAACAGCTTTCCCTAAGATCAGGTCTTCTTTGAGCTGTAATAAATCTGTCAAAGACTCATCAATAATTCCTACAGTAATTCTTATGAATTCTAACATTGCTACAATCAATATTGTTTCAGAGATTTTGAGGAAGGAACAGATGTTAGCTCTCATTCCTTCAAGTGCCTAAACTTTTCTACCCGTAAATCCATATGCTATCATCATGGTGAGTGAAGCTTATAGTATTCCTCAATGTTAACCCCTTCAGACCCGTATACAACAAGGACCTCATCAGAATAATTCAGAGAAGTTGCTTGTGGCTGTAAAACCTGATTAGAGATAACCAATATTTCAGCAGTATAGAGGAGTCATGCGCAGCTAAGTTTTAAAGTTGAAATTGGTTTATTAGGAAGCAACTGTTCAAATCCGGTACATAATCAGAATGGATCACTGTTCAAATCCAGTACATAATCAGAATAGATCACATAAACTCATGACCTGTTATAGGTGAGAACAGTTCCTGATCCTGGATCAGAAGATAAGAATGTCTGCCGCCTCTGTAACAATCTCTTGCAGAAAGTTTGGTTGATCAGAGTCTTAAATTGAAATGAACAATCCCAAAGAAACCCTCCCTCTATCATGGCATTTTCCTTTGTGACTGCCGGTTTATGGATATTTGTAATT